ATCCTTTCCCTCGGTACACCCGGCTCTTTCCCCGGATGCTTCCTGTACGTTCGCATATATAATTCCTGCTGCTTTCGTTACAACCGCCGGAAGTATTCTCGCCTCGTGCGACGGAGGAGTGAGGGAGAGAGACGTAAGAAGAGAGAGATAGAGCGAGCTTCCCTCCGGTTCGGCGGCACGTCACGTTCACGTCCGTTCGCGTATCTGTCGATGAGCACTTAGGTAGTTTGCGCGCATAGCCAACGCCGGCACAGGGTAACGTCTATGCGTAAAGTGTCCCGGACGTCGTAAACTTCTTCTTCCATAATATACTTTTTCTTCCGTAATATATTAGAGGCACGGAAATATTCTTTATGCAAATTGCTGTCTATCAAAGTTTTATATATATATATATATATATATATATATATATATATATATATATAATGTGCGTGTGTGTGTGTGTATAAAAGAGAAAGAAGAGATTGCAACGTAACGACTTTTGAGAAGTGTGGCTTTGAAGTCAACTTTATGACTGAAAATTTCTAATTGGAGGTTTACGACAAAGGAGAGAATTAAGGGGTTTTTAGTGAATCAAGCATTGAGTATGCAAATTTGTGATACAATTTTCCCTAGTTGGTCTTAGCAGGACTTTGAGAATTTTAATCTGTGGCTCACTTATACCAGGATATTTAATGCTTAACATTATGAAAATTGCGAAAGACGACGGTAGCTTATTAAATTTTCTTCAAGGCGAAATGGGCGCCAAATTTGCATGAAACGTGCTAAATTTTAATTCCACTCTGTCGGACGATCGCAATTCACTTTCTTCAGTATTATGCATTTCGATAACAAAATATCATTAAATAATTAAAAATTTGCCGTTTCAACATCCTTGTCGCGGGGAAGAATTTCGTTAAGATAAAAATGAGTCGAGTGGCGAGAGAGATCGCGTTATGTACTTTTACTCAGAGCTCAATCTCGCGAAAGTCTTCATTCTCGGTGAGTTTATGTAATTCCGGCGCTACCGATTTCTCGAAATTGCGGCAACCGCCATTTTCTTGTTTGATCTGCGGTATTTGTTGTTGAAAGGCCATCCGGCGGGTCGGGAATACTCTGTATACTCTACTAAATTACATGAACAAGCGGAGTCCGAAGGACGAGTATTGCCACGAATATGTCACGCTCGAAATCACGGTATCTCAGCGACACGTCGCAACTGTCGTTCTCTTCTTTCGAGCTCTATTTGACACATTTTCCATCAGATGGAAACTCGAGAATCATACGCGGTACTGTGTGTATCGTAAGATTACTTCGACCGGTCTATGAAATTTTTGTCGCTGAGTTTTCGAGGAACATGTGGTCAGAGATGAAATTTGAATGTAAGCGCGGAGATCAGTTTACGCGAAACGGATTTTTCTATTGGAATTTTTTCAGCGATAAGATATAAGGATTACATTCTACCTTGTATAGTATTGATTTCGATTGATATATACGTTGCTTGTGTGCACGCGCGCACGCGATAATTGTCATACGATAACTACGGTAATTGCAGTCTATCGAAAACGAAAGAAAGAGAACAGAACTAGGGAGAACACAATTTGGATTAGAGTTAAAAACTCGCGATCCCGAGAAGGTGCAATGCCTGGCCGTAAGAGCAAGCTCTTCCCAGAAACTAAGTTAATTAACGAGTGAAGTAAGTTTAGACTAACGGAATTAAGTAGCTGGCAGAATTCGATGATTAAAATCCAATTTATTCTACAGCGCGATTCATCCATTTTTGTTATTATTATTACCGTCATTGTTTTACGCGTCTCCTTTCTCGCGATAGCGTCACGTTAATCGCTGGCTGCGTTTCGGCAACGTGACCAGTCGGATCAGAATCGAACTTGTGACAATGAGACGACGGCCAACACTACGCGGCGATGTCGATCGCGCTCATCAGGCCGATTCTTCATTTCGCGATTGTCGCACGACGTCGCATCTGTTAACAACAAGCGGCGACTGTCATTGCGGAATCATCGATCAGGACTGAACACAAGGGAGATGCGACGTCCGAGAGAAACTGCAAACGTTTGCCCTGGACGTTCGACCTGTTTCGAATGGCACCCTGTGCGCGCTCCGAGCTCATATTCGCCGTGATTTATCGTATTCGCGTGTGCAACCGCATGTAGGCGCGTCACTCCGCGCAGTCGGTGGATCAGATCTGTCTCATAGATCATTGGCCGAACGTATGCGCGTGCGCGCGCGAACCGAATAACACGGAAGTGAAATAAAACAGAGAGAGGCTCACTAGCTCCCTGAATGACTAAAAAAAAGGCCATCGAATCGCGTACGAACGGAGATTCATTCCGCCGTCGGTAGTTTCGACGCGCGGCATACGTATGTTGCGCGGACTAAAAACGCGCGAGCCGGGAACGCGTTGGCGAAGTTAATGCGACAGCAATACGGATGATATTTCGATGTGTGTGTTTCTCTTCTTTTTTTTTCTTTCCACGGGATTCTCGCGGTCGAACGTTCCTTCTCGCGTGCTTGTATCCCGAGAGAAACCGTTCTTCGCGATTGTACGTAACGCCGTGAAAAGTTTCCTAACACCGAGCCTAACAGAGAACGCATTGGGTTCGCGGTAGTTGCTGTACAATCTGTTACGGAAGTCGCGCAAACTTTTTCCGAGCCGTGGGTACGACCAAACTGCAAAAAATAGTGTTTCCTGTTTTTAATGTCGAGGTAATAATAACTAATCCTTGCTATCGCAAAAGGGTGGAGAGATTTCGATGATAATCTATTAATGTTGCGGATGACAGCGTTGATGATTCAACGCGACGCGGCTTCAATTTGCAATTGATCTCGGTGCTGTTTCACTGCGCAATATTCTCCCGTGAGATTTAATTGTCAAAATATCGGAGATATCGAAATTAGAAGAGGGTAAACCGTCAAGCGGTGACGTTCGATCAGATTCTCTGGAATTTTCTGAACGAATTTTGGGGCATTCATATCGCGTATACTCTCAGAGATACACGGTGTGTCTGTGTGAAGCACGGACGAGCGTCGTAAAGTGTGGTAATGTTATGTAAACTTTAAGACTGGATGAAGAGCAACGTTTACGAGGTCAATCTGAGAAAACTGAACCGTCAGACACTAAACACACGAATCGCGAAGTACGCGCAACAAAAACGTACATGTATCGGTGATCTGTACATATACGCGTGCGTGAATATTATTGTTATTACTATATATTAGCGAAACCTAATTGCAATTCTGATCCTGTATTAGTCTTGCAAATTCGCTGACCTTTGATTTATATTAATTGCCTCACATTTATCTACCACTTTCACTCAATCTCCGATAGAGTAAATTAATTAAATAATTCGATCGAGTAAATCACATAATTATTACGTTTTTTGACGCAATTAGAACTTAAGATTAAATAAATAAATAAAGGTAAAATGCTGAGATATAATCAAACATTAAATGATTCCTATTTTCTAAAAGTGCTCATAATACATGATCTACAACTTTCATATTCTGGACGTCCATCGTAAATCCTTCTTCAAACTTTCTCAAAAAAGAGAACTCGGTAATGAATAATTATTTGTGTTATTATAGTAGGACAATAGTTTATAGTCATTGTGAGTCGATATTTTATTCCTACATTAATCCTGAAAGTACTCTCAATACTTGAAAGAACAATAGAAAATTTTGAGAGATATAATACTATACATTGTCCTATTATGATACAACAAGCAGTTATTCACTGCCATTATCTCTATGTTGAGCCTTGAAGAGAAGCAAACTTATTCAAGAATTATTTAATATTCAATTATTCACAGTCTTATAATTCTTTTCACTGAGAAACCAATGCGAATTTGTGGCATGCACTACATTATAAGATAGCTCTTTGTGAGCGTTGGATTAAACGCTCACCATTGCGCGTTGATACATCCCCGACGTCCAGCCAAGCCCAGTGATATCCAACCAGGTCCACGCGTATCCTTCATTTTGTGTCGTCCTTTGAGTGCTTGATTGCACTCTACGCTTCACTCGCGACGCGGTCGATACCTATACTTTTAGACGGCGATATTTATATTTACTAACGAATCTCTCGACGGTATTAGTGAAAATTTTATTTTATAATGAAATCCACGAAAGTAACGAAAAGTTAGATCAAAATTAAAATTTACGAACTCGTTTGACGTATGTTTATCACAGTATGGTAATTTTGGCATCTTACAAATATAATCGTGAATCAAATATAAAAAAATCGTGATTTGAAGTTTGTCACTTTCAACGAATTCGTGATTAACACGCTCGTAGCACATAATGGACAATATCAATCGGGATCATTAATCAAAATAACCGTGAATGTAATATAAAAAGTCGCCAATCGATCGCAAAATCTATCAACGTGTTAACGCGGACAAAATAATCGTAAGTGGCATGAGATTTTCACGCATGATAGCTTATAACACGCATGATAGCGTAACACTTTGTCGAAGCTTACTTCCGCGATATTTTGACGAATTGAAAAATTAACGCGAAACCCGCGTCTCTTTCCCAAATATAATCACGGCGCGAGCAAGTATAAATTGATAACCGCCGCGATCGCGAAATCCAAATTCACGCGAGCGAGGTAACCTCAAGCTCAGCGTGCGGTGGCGTAATTTTCATGCGCATTATGTGCTAGTCGAAATAATTAAGGGATTGTACTGAATTAACAATACCGTGGAATTTAACTCTACAGTTCAAGATAAATATAAAAGTAAAATAGTTGAAGTATCATATATATTTTTAGAGATATTCTTGCTAAAGATTACTAAATAGCAGAGAATTATTCAGTATTTCAAATTTGTTATGTAATACATTTAATGAAATGATCCCAAAATTAAATCGAGCAGTGTATTTCCTTTAATAACACAAGTATATGAAAAATCCCAATATGCAAAAATCTATAAACAGTTCGCATTGATTTCAATGATATTCCATAAAATCCCATCACCTCTTAAATCTTTTTTTTCACTCACCGCAACGACTTGCAGACAGGTCCGGCCTAAATCTAAAACAAAAAGGTAGAGATTCGTCGATTAGATTTAAGAATTCAGTTTAACAAGTGAATACGGCAAGGTAAGATTATAACTCTTTGCGATCGTAATTCAAGTCATACCGACGACTGTATCTCAGCTTTAGATCGCAAAGGGTTAAATGGAAGAATACAGGATACTTGTAAATGTACCTTTGAGCCGACCTCGTTAGACCCGAACCGGATCCTCCGGTACGGCATTTGCGAATGCTGAAATTACTGTCTTCCTGATATGATCACAATATATTCTATCAGATCTGAAACAAAAATAAAATTTTCCGAGTTAATACAGAGAATAGTGATCAAGTGTGGATAGAATGATCATTACGATAAATTGAAAATACGAAGGTATACGGCACAAGAATGTAAAAAAATACAACGTTTGACTGTTTCTATCTTAAATAGAATAAAAATAAAATAGTTACTTTTTAAATATCAAAATGTCCGCACGACTTAAGATGTTCCTCGTACTATGATCGCACTCGCGAAATGTCGTAATTTATTTCACACACACACACACACACCGATAAACATAGAATAATCACGGATAATCATGGATATCGCAGCGCCATACGACGTGTTCGCCCGTGCGTCGAAGACTATTATGAGCCCGAGCGTGAGACCTACCTACGTACATGTTGTTTCGAAGGTCGCGCAACCTTCAAAACAAACACTTTAGCACGCGGAAATACCGTTATATGGTTGATTAAATTATTTGTCGTATATTCTATGTTCTAATATATATCGATATATTATATATCAATGTATTATATATCGATATATTATATATCGATATGTGTGTGTGTGTGTGTGTGTGTGTGTGTGTGTGTGTGTGTGTGTCGATATATAATAATTAATTATTTTATACGTGTTCCACGATAATATTTACTATATGAATATATGTTCTATAGCTACTATTTATTAATATTTTAAAATTGCGAATTATTAGAATATAAATGTATTCGTAAAAAATTAGCTATTAAGCTCGAGTTTTCCACGCTCATTTTTAGTATCAATTGGTATATAAACACGTACTACAAGTTTCGAGACGGTTAGTCTTTTATTGTTGCACGTTACGAGAGAATTTTATAATAAAAGTTATGAGAAGATTACCGAGGAATAGATTGACATTTTGCAGTTATTAACTATTCTCTCATTTCATGTACGCTATTTATATTTTAGAAACTGAAATGTGTGTATGCTATTAAAAAATGTGCTATATTTCTAACGGAATTTTTTAGTGCTTCTGAGAAAGGTGGACCTTACAGTTTATTCTTCCTCTATATATATTAGGAACTTAATAAAATTGAAAATAATTTATATGAAAACAAAAATAATATTCTTCCTCTGTGTAGAGTCACATGTTGTTTAACGTATATGGGTTATTACCAGAAACAAAAGCGCTTCTATAGATCCTTGTATTACCAGCTGCGATTTCAATAACTCATGATATCTCGACATTTTCCATTAGCCTTTCAAGTTGGATAGAATTTACTGAGTTAATGTGGAACCAGAATTTCGGTATTATCAGTATACAAGTGGAATTTTGATTGCCATTACGCGACGGTAGACATTTGCATAAATAACAACGTTAATTATACTATTATGAATTATTATGGCGGATCCATATGTATATTGTTTTAACTAATTAAACACGTCGAACGAGTTCTCGGTTATCGCGATTGTGTCATGTCCGAAGCATCGAAAACGCCTGATGTAATAATGCTGTATCGTTCGTATTTGCTTTATTTTCGCAGATTAAAAGCGCGTCGGAACCCCCGCGAAAACTACCCACGGCGGATGCGTTTGCGAAATTGCCGAAACTATGTATAATATGTCGCCGTAGCCGTAGACAGTCGATTGATTCTCAAAGTATGCTCGAATAAACTACGCCGCGGCAGGAAGGGGATTTTTCTCTCGAGCCGATCGTGCACGTTCGAGTTGTGCCTTTTGATTTCTCCTCTCTGTCGGAAAAACTGCGATCTCTCTCTCTCTCTCTCTCTCTCTCTCTCTCTCTCTCTCTCTCTCTCTCTC